CTTTGGGACCATGTGTATTATAGGTTAATAGCTTTCATTAAAGAATGGTAAGTGTGTTCAATTAATGGTATCGGGCATAAATCAACAGCCTTGGCGTGACTGCGTAGAGATGCAGAGGTCAGAGACCCAAGGACGAGCAGGAATGCTCTTAAGGACCAAAAGAAGGTGGGAATGTGAAGCCTCAGGCTAATTGCTTTCATTTAGTTTGTGTATATTGCTTGTTTTTAGGAAGTTGGGTTGAGGAGGCCGATCGCAGTAAATTTTGGGGATGAAACAAAAGGTCAAGCGTGTGGGCACAAGGGACCAATCAATGTAAAGGTCAAGCGTGTGGGCACAAGGGGCCAACCAATCAATGTGAAGGTCAAGCGCGTGGGCACAAGGGACCAATCAATGTAAAGGTCAAGCGCGTGGGCACAAAGGGCCAATCAATGTAAAGATCAAGCGCGTGGGCACAAGGGGCCAACCAATCAATGTAAAGGGCAAGCGCGTGGGCACAAGGGGCCTACCAATCAATGTAAAGGGCAAGCGCGTGGGCACAAGGGGCCAATGAATGTCAAACATGTGGGCACAAGGGGCCAATCAATGTGAAGGTCAAGCACATGGGCACAAGGGGCCAACCAATCAATGTAAAGGGCAAGCATGTGGACAGGTTATGCACCGAGGGCATAAAGGGCTCCATCCCACAGTGCTCGGGGTCTTTGTCCCAATAGAGGCCGCCGTGTCGGAGCTCTGGGACTTGGACCCTAGCTTGAGCTAGTCAATAAAACTCCTCTGATGATTTCAGCCTCAGTGACCCCATCTCTTTGTTCTGTGGTCCTACGGTCTCCCGCTCTAACAAACGGCCGACCCTTCTGGTCAGGTAATCCAAACTCGACCACCCCAGCCGCCGGGGCCTCTGCACAAACGCAGGTTGGATAAAGTGAATTCCCCTTTATTCTACAGAGGAATTCAGCCCTCAGCCCTTTCATACCCAAACAGTATAAAAACCCCATGAAATATTTGTTTCTTTCTCTTGTTTTTTTTTTAAATCAGTCCCCGTAGGAACCATCAAAAATTGCCAGTGCTGACCATATTGCAAGTTGTCACTGTGAGGTATTGTGAAAAGTTTTCAATTAGCAATAATGCACCTCAGATAAACCTCATTGGCTATAATACTGCCATTGCGCAAAGCTGAAATATTTTTTAATATCAAAAGAACAATGACTTCTCCTGGTTAAATTCAGCCTACCACAGACCAGTTCCAACAACAGTCTTCTGCGATCTGAACACAGGCACGGACCGACTGTCTTCATAACCACCTGCCCGGGCTCTGCACTCAGAACAGCACGAGGCTCCCAGGGCCGCCCAGGGCTCAGCTCAGAGGTTTTGCAGCTCCCGGAAGAGCCACACAGGGAGGGGTCAGGGACCGTGGTGGCCCTAGACGGGCACAGCCTCAGGGCCGCAGGGGAGCAGTGGCGACTCCACCCCTGGGGGAGCACCACCAACACCTGAGCCTGAGCCGAACCCCTCCCCCGGGGAGCTCTCCGGCTCCTCCAGAGAAGAAATGTGATGGGGCACAGGGAGCCCCTTGGGCCCACCCACCACGGAGCAGAGGGTCAGGGACACATCTCCTGATATAAGCCTGAAGTATGGAAAGAGCGTCCCAGAGAAGGAAGCTGGAGGGAAGGAGAAAATATGGGAGCCATCAGTCATGTTATAGAAGGAGACATCCCCTTCGCTGTAGTCCAGGAAAACTCCCACTCTATGGGGAGCCTGCCTAAGGCGCAGCTGAGTGTTAGGACTAGTACAGGCGCAATATCCGCCATCATACCGCCCCATAACCCAGAACCCCTTTTCTGGATACTCTCTGTACCACTCTGCATGTTTCACATCTTCCCTACAGACCCCCAGAGCCCACCGACAGTTGTCTCCATGCCTGACCTCCACCTCCCAGTAACATCGCCCTGACAGGATGCCCTCGAGGCCCAAGACACTGAAGATGCCCTGTGAATCACCACAGGTGTCCCTCAAGGTCACACTCTTCTTGTCCTGAGAGATGGCCAGGTTGGAATGGGCAGAGCCTGCATTCAGAGTGACAGACCCTGCGGAGAGAGACACCAATCACGCAGGCCCTCCCCTGCCCCGTAACAAGGGTGCACATACCCCTCGGCCCCCAGCTTAGCTGCACAGGGAAGGGAGGGGGAACCCTGAGATGGGAGTCGTGTGACTCTAGTCCACGCTCTCCAAGCCGAGGAAGAAACCAGGAGATGGATTTGATGGTTAGATATGTCACAGCCTGCTGAGGACCAGGCCCAGCTTTGTGACAGTCAACTCCACCACCCACCCCACCACCATTGATGGTGCCAGCACCTGGGCAATCACAGAGAACATAAGAAGCAGCCAAAAGACAAAGGGGCAGCAGAAGGGGCACCCAGAAAGAACACGTAGTCACTCACAGGCCTGGAACTGTTCCGTCCGCCAATCTGCAAGAGAAGCACACAGTTCATATCAGGGATGTGCAGAGATTGTACACATCAAAATAAACACCTAGTCTTCTGAAACAGTGACACAGAAGTTATAGGGAAAAGTGTGTTGGAAAACATTCAACTGATATGTATCGATCTCTCTCTCTCTCTCTCTCTCTCTCACACACACACACACACACGCACACACACACACGCACACGCACACACATACACACACATTGATCATGCTGCAGCCTACAGGATGAGGACTAAGCCATAAAGCTTAGCACCCAGCCATTGAGAGACTGGACACCGACCTGAACAGAAAGGTCCTTGCCCAGATTTCACTGTCAAATTATGCTTCCTCAGGTCCCTCGCCATTCAAGCTTCCTGAGAGCTAGGGTTATTTGAGAAGGCATGGAGGAAACTGAAATTTCTACGACCTCCACTTACTTATGAAGAACTGAGCTGGCTTTGTACCATATTTCCCCGAAAATAAGAGAGGGTCTTATATTTATTTTTCCTCAAGAACACACCCTAGGGATAATTTTCCAGGGATGTGTTATTTTTTTAAGTACAGTACAACAATCTCCATTTATTCAAATATAGTTAAGTCGTCTTCTTCTGGAACATCATCATAACTCTCCAAACCCCAAATTCCATCCTGAATTTCTTGTGACTCTATTTCCTGTAGAACCATTGGCCCCAATCTCTGATGTTGAGCACTAGAGCTCTCATGGGGCAGATGAGAAGGGCTGCTCATCTTCTTTACTGCTCAGCGATGAAATGCATGGGTTGTGCAGATACGCTGCATAGCCATGCCCATCACTAGGTCTCATTTTCGGGGTAGGGTTTACATTGCACAAATGCTAGAAATCCTGCTAGGACTTACTTTATGGGTAGGTCTTATTTTCAGGGAAACACGGTAGGTAGCCTGTAACCGTGAGCAGAGACAGAACTGCATCTAGCTGACTGAACCTGGAAAATGCCTGGAAACCATGAGTGAAACTCAAGGTGTAGAATAAGAGAAATCTTGCCCAGGTAGGAGGAAATAGAGAGGCTTGTAGGATGGGAGAGAAAGAATTTCAAATCAGGAAACACATATATCCAGTGAGAGGGCAGAGGATAATGACCTCTCCTCCCCTCTTCATGGGCTGACGGAAGCAAAAACATCCCTATGTAGACCGGAGAACCGAAACATACTGGATCTGGTCATTGGGCTCCCCCAAGAATTGCCCAAAGGGTTGAAAGCTCCCAGGAGAAACCCTGCCATGATAGGCCCCCAAAGATGTCCATGCTGTAAGCCCTGGAGTGTGTAAATATGTTACATACATGGCCAGGGCAGACATACTTGGGCCATCATGCTAGGGTTCCCTGAGCTCAAACCCTTGTGCATATCTGGGAAGCCAAATGACCATCAGTATGTTCGGTTCTCGCTAATCAGGATGTTTTGCTTCCGTCAGCCCATGAAGAGGGAGAGAGGCATTATCCTCTGCCTCTCACTGAATATGGTTTCCTGATTTGAAATTCTTTCCTCTCCCATACAAGCCTCTCTATTTCCCTACCTGGGCAGATTTCTCTATTCTACACCTTGAGTTCACTCATGGTTTCAGGATTCATTGCAGTTCAGTCAGCTGAATGCAGTTCTGTCTCTGCTCACGGGTTACGGTACACCGTGTTTCCCTGAAAATAAGACCTACCCATAAAGTAAGCCTAGCAGGATTTCTAGCATTTTGTGCAATAAACCACCCCGAAAACATGAACTAGTGATGGCCCCAGCTATGCAGCGTATCTGCTACAACCATTGCATTTCACGTTGAGCAGTAAAGAAGATCTGAGCAGCCCTTTCATCTGCCCCATGAGAGCTCTAGGCTCACACAGAGAGATTTGGCCAATGGTTCTACAGGATAATAGAGTTCACGAAAATTCAGGATGGAATTTGGGGTTTGGAGATTATGATATTTCCAGAAGAAGACGACTTAAACTATATTTGAATAAATGGAGATTGTGTACTTGTACTTAAAAAAAAACACATCCCTGGAAATTATCCCTAGGTGTTTCCTTGGGAAAAATAAATTATAAGATCTCTTATTTTCGGGGAAATATGGTACAAAGCCAGCTCAGTTCTTCTAATGTAGTGAGGTTCGTAGAAATTTCAGTTCCTCCATGCCTTCTCAAATAACCTAGCTCTACAGGAAGCTTGAATGGCGAGGGACCTGAGTGAAGCATTAAATTATGACAGTGGAAATCTGGGCAAGGACCTTTCTGTTCAGGTCGTGTCCAGGCTCTCAATGGCTGGGGCTAAGCTTATATGCTTAGTCTCACCTGTAGCTGCAGCATGATCAATGTGTGTGTATGTGTGGGTGTGCGTGTGTGTGTGGCGTGTGTGTGTGTGAGAGAAGAGAGAGAGAGAGGAGAGATCGATACAGTACGTTGAATGTTTTCCAACACACTCTCCCATAATTCTGTGCACTGTTTCAGAAGACTAGTTGTTTAGTTTGATGTGGTACCATCTCTGCAACATCCCTGATATTGACTGTGTGCTTCTTCTGGCAGATTGGCGGACGGAACAGTTCCAGCCTGTGAGTGACTACGTGTTCTTTCTGTGGTTGCCCTCTTGCTGCCCCTTTGACTTTTGGCTGCTTCCTTATGTTCTCTGGTGATTGCCCAGGTGCTGGCACCATCAATGTGGTGGGGGTGTGGTAGAGTTGACTGTCACAAAAGCTGGGCCTGGTCCCTCAGCAGCTGTTGACATATCTAACCATCAAATCCCAGTCTCCTGGTTTCTGTCCTCGCTTGGAGAGCGTGGACTAGAGTCCACACGCACTCCATCTCAGGGTCCCCCTCCCTTCCCTGTGCAGCTAAGCTTGGTTGCGAGGGTATGTGCACCCTTGTTACGGGGCAGGGGAGGGTCCGCGGTGATGGGTGGCTCTCTCTCGCAGGGTCTGCCCTCTGAATGGCAGGGCTCTCCCTTCCAACCCTGCCATCTCTCAGACAAGAAGAGTGGACCTGAGGACACCTGTGGGTATTCACAGGCATCTTTCAGTGTCTTGCCTCGAGGCACCTTCAGGGCGTGTATCTGGGAACGGTGGAGGTCAGGCATGGACGACACTGCGGGGCTCTGGGGTCTGTACGGGAAGCATGCTGAAACGGTGCAGAGTTACAGATGGTATCCAGAAAAGGGTCTGGTTATGGGCTTATGATGAGTGATATTGCGCGTACTAGCCTGATTTAACCACTCGCTGCGCTTAGCAGGCTCACACCATAGAGTGGGAGTTTTCCTGGACACAGCAGGATGTTCCTCTTTCTATAACATGATGATGGCTCCCATCTTCCCTTCCCTCCAGCTTCCTTCTCTGGACCTCTTCCAACTTCAGGCTTATATCAGGAGATGTGTCCCTGACCCTCTGCTCCGTGGTGGGGCCCAAGGGCTCACCTGTGCCCCATCAATTTCTTCTCTGGAGGAGCCGGAGAGCTCCCGGGGACGGTTCGGGCTTCAGCTCAGGTGATGGTGGGCTCCCCAGGGTGGAGTCCCACTGCTCCCTGGCGGCCCTGAGGCTGTGCCAGTGCTAGGCACCACCGGTCCCTGACCCTCCCTGTGTGGCTCTTCGGGAGCTGCAAAAACCTCGAGCTGATCCCTGGGCGCCCTGGGGTTCCTGTGCTGTGTCTGAGTGAGAGCCCGGGAGGTGGTTATTGAAGCAAGTCGGTCCGTGCCTGTCGTTAGACGCAGAACTGGTTGTGGAATCGGTCTGTGGTAGGTGAATTTAACAGGAGAGTCATTTTCTTTGGATATTAAAAAGTATTCCCAGGCTTTGCGCAATGGCATATTATAGCCAATGAGGTTTATCTGAGGTGCATTATTGCTAATGAAAACTTTTCACAATAACCTCACAGTGACACTTGCATATGGTCAGCCTGGCAATTTTGATGGTTCCTACGGGACTGATTAAAAAAAAACAAGAGAAGAAACAAATATTCGATGTGTTTTATACCTGTTTGGTATGAAAGGGCTGAGGGCTTGAATTCCTTGAGATATAAAGGGGAATTCACTTATCCAACCGCGTGTGCGAGAGGCCCGCGGCTGGGGTGGGCGAGTTTGGATTACCTGACAGAGGTCGGGCCGTTTTTAGACGGGAGACCAGTAGGACCACAGACAAAGAGATGGGTCACTGAGGCTAAATCATCAGAGGATTTATGACTAGCTCTAGCTAGGTCCATAGTTCCCAGAGCTCGCGACACGGCGGCCTCTATTGGACAAGAACCCGCACTGGTGGGATGGAGCCCCTTTATGCCCTCGGTGATTAACCTGTCCACATCTTGCCTGCTTACATGGATTGTTGCCCCTTGCTGCCCATGGCTTGACTACATTGATTGGGCCCCTTGTGCCCACATGTTGACATTCATGGCCCCTTGTGCCCACTGCGCTTGCCCTTACATGGATGTAGGCCTCTGTGCCCACGCCTGCCCTTTTACATTGATTGGTGTGCCCCTTGTGCCCACGCGCTTGATCTTACATGATTGCCCTTGTGCCCACCGCTTGACCTTTAGCATGATTGGGTCCCTGTGCCCAACGCGTTGGACCTTCACATTGATTGTCTGGCCCTTGCCACACGCTTGACCTTTACATTGGATTGGTCCTTGGCCCACATGCTTGACCTTTGTTCATCCCCAATTTACTGCTAGATCGGCCTCCTCAACGCACTCCTAAAAAGGCAAATACAAATAATGAAAGCAATTAGCCTGAGGCTCACATTCCCCCTGCTTTTGGGTCCTTAAGAGCATCCTGCTCGTCCTTGGGTCTCTGACCTCCTGATCTCTACGCCAGTCACGCCTAAGCTTGATATTATGCGCCGCGAAACCATTAATTGAACCACTTACATCTTTAATGAAAGCTTTACCTAATTGAATACAGCATGTCCCAAAGGAGAATTAGGAGGAGCACAATGTTGGACCTAATAGTGTGGACAACTAAAGTAGTTAACCACAGTGCAAGCTATTAAACCATGATCAACCATCCTTGTGTTATTTATTTATTTTATTTATTTATTTTTATTTCGGCATATTTGGGGTAGCAGATTTAAGGTCTCATAAAGCCATTTCCCCTCCCCCAGCAAGTCTGAGTCTCCAGCATGACGATTCCCCCAGATGGTGCACAACTCACTCATTATATATGTATATACCTGCCTCCCCCCTCCACCGCCCATAACCCTATTATACGGACTTGTGTCCATTAGTGTTACCAGTTATACCAGTTTGCTGGTGAATATGTGTCTGTTTTCCATTCTTGAATACTTCACTAGTAGTATGGTCAGCTCTACCAGGAAAAGTAAGATTGCTATATCACTGTTGTGTCTTAGAGCTGAATAGTACTCCATGGTATACGTTACACATTTTTATATCCATTCTTGATTGAGCGGCATCTGGGCTGTTTCCACAGCTGCAGTTATGAATTTGCTGCTATAACATTGAGTACAGGTCTATTTTGTAGAGTGGTCATTGGATCTTTGGGTAGGATGCCCAGCCAATGGGATTGCTGATCAAATGGTAGATTCCACTTAGATCACTTATAGGTATCTCCATATTGCTTTCCCACACGAGGCTAACTAGTTTGCTTCCACCTAGCAGTGTAGGAATGTTCCTCTTTTTTTTTTTTAGGGAAGTTCTTTCTTTCGCATCCACGCCAGCATTTATTGTTGGAGACTTTTTGATACAGGCATTCTCACTGGTTAAGTGATATCTCATTGTGGTTTTGATTGCATTTCCCTGATGATTAGAGGATGTTGAGCATTTTTTCATAATGTTGTTGGCCATTCTTCTACCTTCGCCTAGAAAGTTTCTGTTCAATCCTTTGCCACTTTAATAGGTTATTGATTTTTCTGCTGATTTTCGGAGTTCTAAGTATTCTAGTTACAGCCTCTTATCAGATGTGTAAGGATGCAAAAATTTTCTCCCATTTCTTAGTTTCTGTTCTATTCCTGACTTTCTTTTGGCTGGCAGAAGCTTTTAGTTTGATCAGGTCCCATTTATTTATTTCTGCTGCTGTGACTTGCCTTTGGGGACTTCCTTCATAAACTCTTTGCCTAGGCCAATGTCTAGGAGAGGTTCACACTTTCCTTAGATTCTAATAGTTTCATCCTAGGTTTAGTTGTATCCAGTGTGAGGTGATTTTTATTGAGAGGTGAAAGTGTGGTCCTTTTTAGCTCTACATGCTATGCAGTTTTCCCAGCACCATTTATGAAAAGGATTCTTGCCCCGAGGTAGTTTTGCCTGCTTGTCAAAGTTAGAGGCGATAGAGGATGGTTTTATATCAGATTCTCACATCTGTCCACTGGCCATATTCCTGTTTTTGCCAATACCAGATTGATTTATACTACACTTTGTAGTATAGTTTGATATCTGGGTATTAATGCCTCCCATTTTTTTTTGGCCTAAATGCTTTTTTTTTTTTTTTTTTTTGAGACAGGATCTCGCTTTTTGTCGAGGTAGAGGCAGTCTGTGATCAGCGGCTACTCACAGCAACTCAAACTCCTGGCTCGAGCGAGCCTTCTCTCAGGCTTCCCGAGTAGCGATACAGGCATGCGCCACCATGCCCGGCTAATTTTATATATTATCAGTTGGCCAATTATCTTTCTATTTATAGTAGAACGGGGTCTCTCTTGCTCAGTCGGTTTCAACTCCTGGACCTATGAGCAATCCACCGCCTCGGCCTCCAAGAGCTAGATTACAGCGTGAGCACCCGCCCGGCCTAAATTGCTTTTGATATTCGGGTCTCTTTGGATCCATACAAAACGTAAATATTAATTTTTCTATATCTGGAAAGGAATGCTGATGGGATTTTAATAGGTATTGCATTGAATCTGTAGTCATTTGGTAGTATGGACATTTAATGATTTTGGTGTGCTGATCATGAGCAATATAGGATTTCCATCTGTTTACACTCTCTGCTATTTCCTTCCTCGAGTTGCATCAGTTCTCCCTGTTGATGTCTTTACTCTTGGTTACAGTATATCCTAGGTACTTAATATATTCTTTGATTGTATTGAAGTAATGAGTCTTTGATTGTTCCAATAGATGTTGTTGATATATATGAATGCCTCTGATTTCAGGGATTGATTTGTTCCTGAGACTTTACTAAATTCATTGACAGTTCCAGGAGTTCTTGGTTGAATCTTCGGGTTTTCTAGAATAATTAATATCATATCATCAGCAAACAGTGAAGTTTGATATCTTCGCCCTTTTGGATACCCCTTAATTCCACTTCCTGTTTGATTTGCTGTGCCAGGACCCAGCAGTATGTTGAACAGAAGTGGAGGATAGTGGCAAGACCTTGTCGTCCAGTTCTAAGTGGGAATGATTCATTTTCCCATTCAGTTGATGTTGGCTATAGGTCTGCTCATATATGGTTGTATCATTTTAGGTATGTCCCTTCTATGCTTATTTTCTTTAAGTGGTTTTATTCATGAAGGGTGTTGAATTTTGTCAAAGCTTTTTCTGCCACCTATTGAAAATCAGTGTGGTCTTTGTTTTGCTTCTGTTTATGTGTGAATTGCATTTATAGATTACGTATGTGAACCATCCCTGCATCCCATGGATGAAGCCCACTGGTTGTCATGGATTTTTTTGATAAGTGTTGCTTTTCAGTTAGCTAAGATTTTGTTGAAAA